AAACTACCATCAGAGTGAACAGGCAACCTACAGAATGGGAGAAAATTTTTGCAATCTACCCATCTGACAAAGGGCTAATATCCAGAATCTACAAATAACTTCAACAAATTTACAAGAAAAAAACAAACTACCTCATCAAAAGGTGGGTAAAATATATGAACAGACACTTCTCAAAAGAAGGCATAAAGCAGCCAACAGAAACATGAAAAAATGCTCATCATCACTGGTGATTAGAGAAATGGAAATCAAAACTACAATGAGATACCATCTCATGTCAATTAGAATGGCGATCATTAAAAAGTCAGGAAACAACAGATGCTGGAAAGGATGTGGAGAAATAGGAACACGTTTACACTGCTGGAAGTGTAAATTAATTCAACCATTGTGGAAGACAGTGTGGTGATTCCTCAAGGATCTAGAACCAGAAATATCATTTGACCCAGTGATTCCATTACGGGGTATATACCCAAAGGATTATAAATGATGCTACGATGAAGACACATGCACACCTATGTTTATTGCAGCACTATTTACAACAGCAAAGACTTGGAACCAACCCAAACGTCCATCAATGATAGACTGGATTACGAAAGTGTGGCACATATACATCATGGAATACTATGCTGCCATAAAAAAGGATGAGTTCATGTCCTTTGACATGAACATGGATGAAGGTGGAAACCATCATGCTCAGCAAACTATCACAGGGACAGAAAACCAAACACCGCATGTTCTCACTCATAGGTGGGAATTGAAAAATGAGAACACATGGACACAGGGCGGGGAGCATCACACACCGGGGCCTGTCATGGGATGTGGGGCTGGGAGAGGGATAGCATTAAAAGAAATACCTAATGTAAATGACGAGTTGATGGGTGTAGCAAACCAATGTGGCACATGTATACCTATGTAATAAACTTGTACATTGTGTACATGTACCCTAGAACTTAAAGTTAAAAAAAAAATTTTCCCATTAATAAAGATTTTCCAAATTGGGATATTTTTAGGGTGAAAGTTAAATTTATTAAAAATTACCCTGTGCAAATGGGTGTAAATCGGGATTGCTGGAACAAACGAGGACATAGAACATCCTGTAACATAAAAGAAGATAGGGAGATATTTCATCCAATAGAACAAAGAAGTGAAAAGAGTTATGTGCCTGAGTGACAGACGAGATGCCTGAGGGACGAGGTAACAATAGGTCAGACATGAGTCCTGGTTTATCTACCAAGTGAAAAATGTAAGTGGGGCCAGCTGGAAATGAAGGGCAAATAAAGCCATATAGTCTAGAGATACTCCAAGAATTTAAGTACACTTGCTCTTAGCTTTTCAGGCAATAGCCTAGGAAAATTGACAACCCCTTAAAGACTCCTTCATATTTTACATTGTGCTAGAAAAACATACTACTCTCCAGGTGATGTTGAAAATGAACTGAGAAAAGTATATCTGTGTAGATGGACCCTAACTGGTTTCCAAATTGCTCATGGCTTGTATTTGCAATATAGAGAAATCAGAAGCCTCAACCACCTCAGTGGGACACACGGAAATGTTAATATTTGATGTACTAGAGCAGAAAAAAAACTAGGGTTAGGATAATGAGGTCACAGATATAAAGGAGTTCACAGGTATTGTAGCAGAGGCCATGGATTTAGCAAGGTGTGTTGGGTTCACATACAAAAGAACTACCCTGGAACTATCCAGGAGCTATCCAGAACTATCCAGCTATCATGTACCTGGACACCACCAACCTAATCAAACAAGTCACAGTACTCTGGAGAGTGAATATAGCCTGTAGACTTTAAACTATATGGATAGATAAGTTACTTTTTTACTAGGAACCATCTAGGGAAGAATAAAAAGGGCATGCCATTTGAAGGAAGAAAATGAGCACTAATAACTATGTTTTAGCTAAACATTCAGTTAATATAATATTCAAACACCCTGTGTTAAACCCAAAGACACTGGTTTAACTCATAAAGACTGGAATAGTCTTTAATATGCAGGTTATCTTTTCTTTTGTCTTCAGCAGGAGTAGGAGTTCAAAGACAAAACCAGTTGCAGATAATAAAGATATATTTCTTTGCAAATCTGAACAGTAGTGTGCAAAATTCAACTTTAACTCATAGATCAAATGATTTTAACTTTTTAAACATGTTTTAATCTTATACACATATCAATCATAAGGCAAATAATTTATCCCTATTTAATAAGTGAGTAAAAAGACATATTTAAATAACCCGAATCCTCACTTGGCTGTTTTATAACACAACTGGAATTCATACCAGCCATTCCCAGTCCTTAGCTCTTTCCACTAAACCATCAAGGAGCAACTTCAAACACAAATATTGTACATGGTATATAGGAGATAAGCATGAGACCAGGAGGACTAAAGAGAGTAAGATGGGTAGCAAAAATTCAAGCATGGCCCGTCTGGAATAGGAAATAGTAAGAGATCTGAATCTAGCTCCTAATACCTCAGGATATAGAATAAAGCCTTTTGTTAGGAGACTGGGGAAGACAGATTAGATGAAAAGAAGCAAGGGTATGAAATTCTGAAGGTTTGATTATAATGCCATAAAATTTAAATCATTGTTAAACTCATTTGTATTAGTTCATTCTCACACCACTATGAGGAAATACTCGAGACTGGATATTTTATAAAGAATAGAGGTTTAATTGGCTCAAGTTCCACATGGCTGGGGAGTCCTCAGGAAATTTACAATCATGGTAGAAGACACCTCTTCACAAGGCAGCAGGAAAGAGAATGAGTGCAAGCAAAAGAAATGCCAGACGCTTATACAACCATCAGATCTCGTGAGACTCACTCATTATCATGAGAACAGCATGTGAGAAACCACCTCCATGATTCAGTTACCTCCACCTGGTCCCGCCCTTGACACGTGGGGATTATTACAATTCACGGTGAGCTTTGGATGGGGACACAGCCAAATCATATGATCATTGTATTCAATATTACTTAAAATTCAAACATTCAAACCACAAAATTAAATTCAAGCACAAGGGGCATCAAGACAACGATGTTTTGCATTTTCGTTGCTAAGAATTTCACTCAAAAGACAAAATAAACTTGATTAAAGCATGTCTTAACAATAAAATTATTCAAAAGAGTATTATCATCATGTAAGCTTTTGTAGCTTCTGAATGTTTGGCCAAAAATGAAAATCTCCAGAAAACAATAATAGAATGTTAAGCATAGTTGCAGTTTTACATATTCCAAAAAAATTGTTGAATAGTTTTAAAGTGGCATATAAACCTTTTGTTTCTTTTTCTTAAATTTTTATGCCAAAGGTATCTCACCCACTACCCTAGGTCTAGGCCTATACAAAAACCCTAAAAGGATGTCACCCATCAGCAAAAATTACAAAAGACTTGAGTCAGTACCTAGGAGGGAGTTTTTGTTTATTAAAATATCTCATGTAAGTTTCACAGCAATCTTAAAAGGTAATGTCTTTGGTCTTTGCAGCTACATTTTATATATGAGAAATCTGAGCTCCAATTTGTTTAAATAGCTCTCCTAAGGTTAACGTTTATAGCTGTCAAAGCTGGCATTTAAACCCAAGTTTGACCACAATGGCTAAGTTTTTTCTTCAAACTACAATTTAATAATCTGCTATAAATTTATGTCTCAATTAAATGACATTTAATTTAATTTTTTTGAGACACTGTCTCACTCTGTTGCCTAGGCTGGAGTGCAGTGGTATGGAGCCATCTCGGTTCACTGCAACCTCTGCCTCCCAGCTTCAAACTATTCTCATGCCTCAGTCTCCCAAGTAGCTGGGATTACAGGCCTGTGCCACCACACCCGGTTATTTTTTTTTTTTCTTTGGTATTTTTAGTAGAGACAGGGTTTCACCATATTGGCCAGGCTGGTCTTAAACTCCTGGCCTCAAGTGATCCACCTACCTTGGTCTCCCAAAGTGCTAGGATTACAGGCATGAGCCACCAGGCTGGCCTACTTTTATAATAATCTTTATATGTAGTTAAATGGATAAATACTTTTTCTGAATGTTTCCAAATGGATCTCTCTTACATGAAAGTTGGTTGAAAATGTTTTAAAATTAATCTCAGAAACAAAACCAGTATTTCTACTTGTATTATTTTAAAAAAATGATTAAAAGATCATTTTAAGTTAGCTTTGACTGTATCTTTACCTGCCCAACTACTTTGTCTCTTTCCACGGAGATCAGCATTTTCTCCTTCAGTAAAGTGTGGTGTTTCTCATGTAACACCCTTATAGTTGGTTCATAAGATGCATAATGTAACTTCAACCTATAAAAAATAAAAAGTCAATAGTATCTTAAGGGGTTATTGAGTTAAATCAGTAATTTCCATCTAACATCGAAACCTTTTTTTCTTTTTCTTTTTTGCTGTGAAATAAAAATAAATAACCTCATAAAGGTTAACACACTACAGCCAAGAAGCACAAAAAGCACACAAATTCACTGCAACTTGAGGGTGGAGGGTGCAGTGAGGGAGCAAATCACGTCTTAATTAGTTCTCTATTTCCTACTAGTACCTTTTGCTGTATCCAAGTATGTACTCAGAATATTGCTGCTACCCATGAAATTTTTAAAAATGCAATTCCTTTTGTTAATTTGGAAATGACTGTCAGAAAGACAAGGGCCACAAATAATAGATGATTAAACATGGAGTGTCATTCACATCAAAATAAACTAAAGGATGGTCTTCAAAACAAGTTTGGCTAATCTTCTATTTTAAAAATGAAGTATAAAAACATTTTGATACCTAAACAGAAGGAATAGTTCAGCCTAGTATATAATGTAAATACCTTTAAAAATCTGTTTTATTTGAAAATGACCTCAAAATCTTTTTATTGAAGTGTAATTTACATGGATAAAACATACAGCTCTTAACAGTTACTGTTCAGAGTTTTGAGAAATGCACACCCAAGTAGTACACATTATCAAAATATGAAACATGTCTAACACCCCAGAAAATTCTAGAACTTCATGTATTTGGTAACATATAATATGTTCTCTTTTTTAACTAGTTTATTTCACTCAGCATAATGTTTCTTTAGATTATTCTTATTACTTTACATTGCAATACTTCACTCCTCTTTACTGTGAGTAGTATCCCCTTGTATGTAAATGTGGTTATCCAATATTTTGCTGAAGAAAAGCTGAGTGGATTTTAGTTTGAGCTATCATGAATAAGGCCTCTTTAAACATTCTTATATAAGTCATGTAAGATTTTTTGATCATATATCTTCATTTATTTTAGATAAATACCCAGGAGTTTAATTGCTGGATTGTAATTTATACTACCAGCAACCCTATATGACAGTCCTGGTTGCTCTACATTCTTGCCAACCTCTGGTGACATCAGTCTAATGAGAGTTTATCCATCTTATTATCAAATTTGTCAGCTTTATTATATTTTCCATTAACCAACATCTAACTTTGTTGATTTTTTGTTTGTCCATTTGCTATTTTCTTGATTTCAGCTCTTATTTTTCATTTCTTCATGTTTCTTGGTTGTAGTTTGCTCTTTTTAAGCTTCTAAGATGACATCATTGGTTTTAAAACTTTATTTTCTAAAATAAGCATTTAAAGCCATCAATTTCAATTTAAGCTGCATTGGCTGCATTTCAATATGCTGCATTTTTAATCATTCAGTTCAAACTATTCTCTAATTTCTTTATTTGCCTCATGGATTATTTAAGGCATACTACTTAATTTCCAAATATTTGAGAAACCCCCTGAGATTTTTAAAAATTGATTTCTAATTTAATTTGATTTTGGTCAGAAAACATTCTTTGCATGACATCAGTCCTTTGAAATGTATGGAGACTTGTTTTACGGTTGAGTATATGATCTATTTTAGTGACCATTCCATGTGAACTGGAAAGAGCCAAGTAGAAGTCAAGAAATGTTAACTATGCTCAGTTGATTGACAGTACTCTTCTACACAACCTCTGGAATCTCTGTTTTGCTCAGAGCTTCCCAGGCACTGTTTCCTGCCAGGCTTTGTGTTCTCTCATTCTATACTTCCATAAGTTAGTTATGAGGCCAAAGATTGAAAAAGACTATTGCAGATATTTCTTACATTTCACATACCTCCTTCGTTCTGGGTACACCATGCTGCAAGTTCCAGCTACCTCTATATCCCTGAACTCTGATCTCTGCCTCGTCAGCTCCGAAAATCACCATGCTCTGCTTAGGCTATATCTGGTCCCCTCTGTTGGAATGGGAGTCTGTAAGGGCCAGGAAATAAGTAGGGTCCTGGCTCACAGCATATTTGGTCCATGTACCCAACCAGTGATCAATTCCAGTGTTCCTGAGTAAATAATTGGAATTGATATGCTTGGCAATTGGAATAAGCTAGCAGAATGGGGAAGGTTATCCCCAGCCCCTTCTTGGATGTCAAATACATCTATGTATATTTCTTCTTACACTTTCTAATACTGAGTGTTAAAATCCTAAGTATAACTAAGGAAATATCTATTTTTCCTTTCAATTTTATCAGAGTTTGCTTCATGTATTTTGAAGCTCTTATATTAGAGTAATGCATATTTAATATTATGTCTTCCAGGTGAACTGACTCTTTATTACATGAAATGTATGAAATGTCTCTGTCTTCTTCTCTGGTTCTCAGGATGCCCCTGAGAATGTTTTCCTGTAGCCCTATGGGCTTACAGAGGTGGGCCCCATTTCCTACAAAGAAGTAGTACTTCAGCTGTGCTGCAAGATGCTGAAAAGCCCTCTTCCCCACAAAGAAAGAGATGTCCCCACCCTGGCCCCACCGCTGGAAGTATCCCTACCTCCTCTCCTCAGTGTGATTACGGAAGAAAGAGACTATACATCTAAACTGCTGCAAAAAATAGTCAGCATGTACTGGCAGGAACCAGAAAAGTACCCCCAGAGGCTGGATTTTGAGGTACTTGATTAAAGAGGGGTGGAATGCAAGACTGGATAAACAATAATTCCTTGACCTCCACACAGTGGATTTAACATTATAGTAAGAACTCCAGCGAATAAGGTAGATTCACTTCTAGGGTGGTCCTTAGAAACTTGGAAAAAGATAGCCAACACTGTGAAGTAGAAATGCTGGAGCTACCTTAGCAGACAGTAGAGAAAGCACTCCATAACACCATAGCAATTATATACTGTTATAAATAGCCTCAGTTTTTCTGCAAATTACCCCTGGCTATTTAATTGAGTGGCTATTTACTGGGGAAAGATATTTTTAAGAATTTGTCATTCAAATTCAGAAACTTAAAGCAAAATCATGACCCCACTGTTAGAATGGGAGTCTATAAGGGACAGGAAAAAAGTAGGGTCCTGGCTAAAGTCTGCTCACAGCATATTTGGTTCATGTAAGCACCCAGTGATCAGTTCCAGTCTTCCTGAGTAACTAATTTGAATTTGTATACTTAAAAATTGGAATAAGTTAGCAGAATGGGGAAGGTTATGCCCAGCCTCTTCTTGGATTTCAAATACACCTATGATGGACTATTTGATATTGTTCCAGAAGTTCTGTTTATGTTTTTTCAGTCTTTTTTCTTTGAGTCCCTGCTCATTTCTTTTCAGCTTTTTTCTCTTTGAGCACCAGTTGGATCATTTTCCATCTTCCTGTCTTCATGTTCATTGATCTTTCCATTGGCAATGTCCAATCTTCTAAGACCTACTAGTAAATTTTTCATTCGCACATTGTTTTTTTCAGTTCTCAAATTTCAGTTCAATTCTGTTTATCACTCCTATAGTCACCATTTTCTTTAAAACTCTAAGCATTTCATTATAACTGTTTTAAAGTCCCTGTCTGCTAATTCTGTAATTCTCTTTTCTCTGTGTCTGTTTCTGCTTTTTCCTGATTATAGGACATATTTTCCTGCTTCTAGATATATCTATAGATAGATCAATCCATATAAACTTTATTTATTTATTGTATGTTGAACATACACTTGTCGGAATTTTGTTTTCTTCCTTTAAAGAGTTATTTTCTGACAGATAGTTAATTTCCCAGTGAATCAGTTGAGTTTTTCAAAGCTTATACCTTTAAGCTTTTTGGAGAAAAAGTCTAAAGCAGCATTTTCTCTAAGACCAACTAGGTCTGCTTCTATGGCATGGCTTGTGGAGGATATTAAGTAAATGTTCAGAGTATTCAGTGATGTTCCTTCCCTTATGGCTGATCAGTACTCCTACATCTCCCAGCACTGTGCAACCTCTGGAATCTCTATTTTACTCATAGCTTCCCAGGTGCTGTTTCCTGCCAGGCTTCGTATTCTCTCATCTTATACTTCCACAAGTTAGTTACGTGGCCAAAGACTGAAGAGAACCATTAAAGATATTTCTTAAGCTACATTTCATGTACCTCCTTCCTTCTGTGTACACCATGCTGCAAGTTTCAGCTACCTCTGCAGCCCTGAACTCTGATCTCTGCCTCCTCAGCTCCGAAAACCACCATGCTCTGCTTGGGTTATATCTGGTCAAACTGTGGGCTGAAAAGTACCTTCAGGAAGATATGTGGGGTGAACATCCTGCTCATTTTGTGTTTGTCTTCTCTTAGGCATCAAGGTCCTGCTTTGCCAATTTTCCACCATCTTAAAAAAAAAAAAACTGCCTCATGTATTTTTGTCCAGTCTTGTAGTTCCTTACATTTGGGGAGCTAGTTTAGTACTAGTTGGAGAGCTAATTCTATACTATTTACAATGGCACAGCGCAAAGCAGAAATTCCCTAAAAGTCCTCCAAAAGAATAATATTTTATTTCATTAATAATTGAAACAGAGCTTTTCATTTTCTATAATATTTTCATAGCAGTATTTATAAAAGTCATTAATTTGAGTATCACATTATACCTCATTGATGATAGCAATAGAAATTAAGTATTAAAGTGCAGTTGCATTTTATATACATTTAATGTGTATTAATATGACATTCAGAAAGAGTAATAAAAATAAAAATTTAGGTAGTACATACAGTTCTATCCTCCATTCTGATTAGCTTCGTGTGTGTGTGTATGTATGCATGTATATATACACACACATACATATATATACTTTGGTGTATACTATAATCTCCATAAACATTACATATGTCTAAATACATAAAACACACAGATATAGAATTGTATACACACAATCATGTACACTGTAATCTGTGGATGGTTGAAGAATTTTAAAGAAAATATTGATGGCAAAATTTCCCTTTTTTTACTAACTTTGGAATTTAACTCATTCATGAGATATGGCTTGACTATCTTCTGTTAAAAGAATTAACAACACATAGAATTTCACTAGAATGTAACAAAGAAAAAACATCGCTACAAAAAAATTAAAACATAAAAAAATTTAGCTGGGTATGGTGGCATGCACCTGTAGACTCAGCTACTCAGAAGGCTGAGGTGGAAGGATTGCTTGAACCCAGGAGTTGGAGGCTACAGGATGCCTTAATCTCACCACTGCATTCTACCATGGGTGACAGAATGAGACTCTGACTCTAAAAAGCAAAACAAAACAACAAACAAACAAAAAAGAAATACTATAAAATTTATTATCAAACTAGTTGAAAAATTTACAGAAAAAGTAAGGTAAACATTTAATGTTTTACAATGAAAGGAAATATGGATACACTATTAATGTATTTGGATAAAATATGACATAAGAGATCTCAGACCCCAACTTTGCCTGGCATCAAAAACACTCTATCCTATAGCTGATTTATTATGCAATAGCACAGCTATCAGGCAAAGTATTCACTGTGTTTGACTGGTTAACTTGATGCCCAGCTTTTTTGTGACTTGATGGCATCACTGAAGTTTTGTTTTAGGTCTTTATAAAATGCGCTTTAGTGATTCATCCAGATTGCTAAATGGAGATGTTTTTCTTAATGATTAAATGAAGAAATAAAGGCTATCTGAGTACAGACCAAGTGTAGCTATATTACAAAGTAATGTGTGCTTCTTTACAAGGGTGCCTGAAATAATGAAATATGAAAAAACATATAATCTAAAGTGATTAATTTTATATGAAAAGTATTCTCTTTAAACGTATTAGGAATTTGAAGAAGTATGGTATATTTTTAAATATAAATGGTTAGGGGCTATTGTATTGGACAGTACAGATATAGAGTATATCATCACGAAAAGTTCTGTTGGATAGCACTGCCTTAGAGCAAGCAAATAGAATTTTATTTAAGGATTGTAAATTTCTTTACTTGTTTTTGTAGGGGAGGAAGGTAAAGAAGGAGAGAAAGTAAATCTCAATAATGTCTTCAAAATAATTTATAAAAGACTTTTAAATTCATAGTCATTTAGAGATATGTCCCCTATCCCTGCAATACCACAGCTGCACTTCACTCTCTTTGCATACAATTTGATGAACATACCATGTTTTTTCATGTCTTGGCACATTTGCAGAGGATGTACTATCTGCCAACAGCACTGTGCTGACCCCACTTCCTCACTGTCTACTCTTACTTGTACTTGAGAATTTAATTCCTGTGGAAATAAATCCTTGAGTCATCTCACACTCCAATCTTATTGGGATGATGGCCCTCTTGGGTGGCATAGCAACAATGCAGTGTATTTCAGTATATTTCTGCTTAACTCCTCCCATTTCACACACACAAATAGTTTCTGAGACCCTTGACAGCAAGGGCCGCAACTTACTCATCTTATGCTCAATAAATGTGGAACTAATAACTTTGTCTAAAACTTTCTGTCATAATCAAATTACTTAACATGTATTAAATAACTCTTTAATAAATAGTCCAACAAATATAAGCTTACCCTTTGAGGTCATTGATTAATTTGTTTTTTTCCTGGACTATTCGCTTGTGATGCATTCGATGAAAATCACGCTCTTTCTGAATTTTCAGCAGATCTTCTCTAGCTTTGCTGCAAAAAAAATAGTAACTTTATAAATCACTGCTAATTCCTTTTTCAAAAATTATTTAGTCTTGAGTTCAACTCTAGTATTGGGCCATTCAGAAGATAATAGGAAAACAAATATTTTGCTATAATTCTCATTGAAGGTTCCCATCAAACATAATTTGTATAAGGTCATATTAGGTTTGGGGGTGAAGGATGAAAGGGCAAAACCTGTAGTTCCAAAAATATGATTCATCTACATTTCATCTAAGTAAGTGAAAATTAAAGGTATGCTGCCAGAACATGTCCATAGTATAAACCATTTACTTCCAAAGAGAACTTGTTTGGCTTGGAAAATTGAAATATATGAAACACGATAATTCAAAATTATTAAAAATAAAGACTTTATGGAATTTAACTCTGAACTTCCTAGAATGTAAAGTTAAAGAGAATATACTAGATTATTCAGTTCTGATATTTGGGAAAAGAAAGCATATAAATTCTAAAAAACCAAGATTTTGTGGTATATATTAAATAAATATATGTCATCAGTGGATCTGATTATTACATAACTCATAGCTTGATGAGAATGGTCTTCAATATCAGTGCTGTAATACAGAAAAATTTTTCAACTTGATACATCTTCTGCAAACCTCTGGCATAAGGCAAGTGAAAGCATTCTTTCTAAGCCCAGGTTCTATGTGAAAATTTAATAAGAAGGTTTCACTTACCTCCATAATATATTAGTTTCAATATAATAATGTGAAATATAATTTATAATGAAAAAGTAGTTCTCAACCTCAGATAACTGACAAAGTACTACAGCATTGAGACTGTCACATTTCTATTCTGAAAAATGGACTGCTACCTCACATTAGGCTTGAAACAGAAGAAATCTATTTTTCTGGGTCACAACTATTTCAAAATTGTGATTCACATAAAATAAATGCACATGAACAGATTTCTGCTTTAAGTGGTGTCAGAACAGCCAGTCACTGAGGAGCAGTGTATGGGATGCTACCAAAGATGTTTATGAGATAAAGTAAGGCTCTCAATGAAGCATAAGTCAAGATCAGTGACTTCTTGATGCACGATCAAATTACATGAGGCATATGGTGCAAGGTCTCGGATCCATTCTTCCAAGTTTCTTTCTTCTTCTTTTCTTTTTTTTAAATTTTAAGTTCTGGGGCACAGGTGCAAGTTCTGAAGGTTTGTTACATAGGTAAACGTGTGCCATGGTGGTTTACTGCACCTATCAACCCATCACCTAGGTATTAAGCCCAGCATACATTTGCTATTTTTCCTAATACTCCACCGCCCCCAACCACACCTCCCACCCCCCAACAGGCCCCAGTGTGTGTGGTTCCCTTTCCTGTGTCCATGTGTTTTGATTGTTCAGCTCCCACTTATAAGTGAGAACACGCAGTGTTTGGTTTTCTGTTACTGTTAGTTTGCTGAGGATAATGGCTTCCAACTCCATCCATGTCCCTACAAAGGACAAGATCCCATTCCTTTTTATGACTGTATAGTATTTCATGGTGTATAAGTACCACATTTTCTTTATCCGGTCTATCGTTGATGGGCATCTGAGTTGATTGCATGTCTTTGTGATTGTAAATAGTGCCGCAATGAACATACACATGCATGTGTCTTTGTAACAGAATGATTTATATTCCTTTGGGTATATACCCAGTAATGGGATTGAGTCTATGTGTGTCTTTGCATGTGAGATGGGTCTCTTGAATACAGCACACCAATGAATCTTGACTCTATCCAGCCTGCCACTCTGCATCTTTTAATTGGGGCATTTAGCCTATTTACATTTAAGGTTAATATTGTTATGCATCAATTTGATCCTGTCATCATATTACTAGCTGGTTATATTTTGCAGACTTGTTTATGTAGTTGCCTCATATTGTCACTGGTCTGTGTACTTCAGTGTGTTTTTGTAGTGGCTGGTAATGGTTTTTCCTTTCCATATTTAGTGCTTCCTTCAGGAGTGCTTGCAAGGCAGGCCTGGTGGTGATGAATTCCCTCAGCATTTGCTTGTCTGAAAATCATTTTATTTCTCCTTCATTTATGAAGCTGAGTTTGACCAGATACTAAATTCTAGGTTGGAAATTATTTTAAGAAAGTCAAATACTGGCCCCCACTCTCTTCTGGCTTGTATGGTGTCTGAAGAGATCTGCTGTCTGATGGGCTTCCCTTTATAGGTGACCTGGCCTTTCTCTCTGGCTGCCCTTAACATTTTTTCCTTCATTTTGGCCCTGGAGAATCTGACGATTATGTGTCTTTTGCTTGATCTTCTCATGGAGTATCTTACTGGGGTTATCTGGGTTTCCTGAATTTGAACATTGGCCTGTCTTGCTAGGTTGAGGAGGTTCTGGATGATATCCTGAAGTGTGTTTTCCAACTTGGTTCCATTCTCTCTGTCTCTTTCGGGTACTCCTATCAGTCATAGGTTTGATTTTTTAACATAATCGCACAGTTCTCAGAGGTTTTGTTCATTCCTTTTCATTCTTTTTTTCCTCTACTCTTGTCTGCCTTATTTCAGCAAGATAGTCTTTAAGCTCTGATACCCTTTCTTCTGCTTGGTCTCTTTGGCTATTGATGCTTGTTATTGCATTGTGAAGTTCTTGTGTTGTGTTTTTCAGCTCGATCAGGTCATTTATATTCCTCTCTATACTAGTTATTTTGGTAAACAGCTCCTGTAATGTTTTTTATCATGGTTCTTAGCTTCTTTGCAATGAGTTAGAACATAATTCTTTAGCTCAGTGAAGTTCATTATTGCCTGTCTTCTGAAGCCTACTTCTGTCAATTCATCCATCTCAGCCTCAGCCCAGTTCTGTGCCTTGCTGGAGACATATTGCCATTATTTGGAGGGAAGAGACACTCTGGCTTTTTCAGTTTTCAGCATTTTTGTGTTCTTTCTCATCGTCATGAGTTTATCTACCTTTGATCTTGAGGTTGCTGACCTTTGTATGAGTTTTTTGTGGGGTCCTTTTCATTGATGTTGTTGTTTTCTGTTTTTCTTTTAGCAGTCAGGCCCCTCTTCTGTAGGGCTGTTGCAGTTTGCTGGGGGTCCACTCGAGACCCTATTTGCCTGGGCCCCTCCCACCCCGGAGGTATCACCAGCAGAGGCTACAGACCAGCACAGATGGCAGCCAGCTCCTACCTCTGGGAGCTGTATCCCAGAGGGGCACCAACCTGATGCCAGCTGGAATTCTCCTGTATGAGGTATCTGGGGACTCCTGTTGGGAGGTCTCATCTAGTCAGGAGGAGTGGGATCAAGGACCTGCTTAAACGAGCAGTCTGGCTGCCCCTTGGTGGAGGAGGTGTGCTGCACCCTCATCTGGGCTCCCCTGACTCTCCAGAGCCAGCAGGTAGAAAAGACGAAGACCACGGATCCATTATATCACAGCTGCCCCTTCTCATAGTGACTCCTCTCAGGGATATCAAAGTTCTGTTCATGAACTCCTGTCTAGGGATGCTGAAATTCCCACAGAGAGGCCTGTCTCAGTGATAAGAAATGGATCAGGGTTCCACTTAAGGAAGCAGTCTAGCCATGAACTGACACAGCTGCTGTGCTGCGCTGTGGGGAATTGCTCCTAGTCCTGACCACCCAGTCTCACTGGCACCTACAGCAGGGGACAATGGCCAACTGGAGCCGCAGTGATGGTGGCCGCCCCTCCTGCCCTGGGAATTAAGTCTTCTTAGGCAGTCTCTGGCCTGCTGTGTTGGCTGGCAGGGATTCCAAGCCAGTGTGTTTTAGCTTGTGGGGTTCTGTGGAAGCGAAGCCACTTGGCTCCCTGGCTTCAGCCCCCTTCCCACAGGAGTGGACAGATATACTGCCTCATGGGAGTTCCCAGAGCTGGAGTATGCAAATACTGTGTGTCTTGGTGCCTGCTCAAATGGCCAGCCACCCAAGCAGCTGCCATGTCTTTACAGTTCTGTGCTTGGGACGCAAGGCCCTGGTAGCGTGGGCTTGCAAGGGGAACTCCTGATCTGTGGGTTGCAAGGATCCATGAGAAAAGCATGGTTTTCAGGGATGGGTAGCACAATCCTGCACCACCTCCTTTGGCCCAGGGAGAAAGCTTCCTTTGCCCATGCAGCTCTTGGGTGGGCCCTTGATGCTTTTCCTTGCTTTCCCTGGGTTGCACCAACCACCTAGTCAGTCCCAGTGAGAGAAGCTTGGTACCTCAATTGAAGATGCAGAATTCACTTGCTCTTTTCATCCTTCTTGGTGGGAGCCGCAGAATGGAGCAGTTCCTATTTGGTCAACTTGGCTGCTCCCGCCCTCTACGCTTCTTTCTCCCCACCTCCCAGTACACCCTATTTTTTAAAAATGACCTCTACTGTTATTTATTTTACTGCCAATTTTGTAGATTTCATTATGTGTAAATAAACAACATTCAGGTGACTCACAATACTCATGGTGAACTTTCTCCACCTAAACCTCAACCTCATTTTCATGCCAACAATCTTATATGTGCAAGCAATGATTGATTCGAACATTCAGTCTTGAAAAATCATCTGAGGAATATACTAATGATTAGATAAACAATGTATTCTTTCCTGATTTTAACCCATGTGTGTATATCAAGAATATAATTTGACAAATAATATAAGTTGACAACATAAGTTGAGAAATAATATAGATAATGATATTGAATGAAGTGCTTGTTATCTAATTTTTCTAATTTGCTTGTCATTGCATTGCTTCTGGTCAAGATGTCTCTATTGTAAAAACAAAAATTAATGGTTATTTTCCTTTAAATATTTATAGTGTATTTTTTAGTGTTAGTGTAGGAGTTACATATATACACTTTAACAAAAAAGATAGTGCAATTTAGGACAGTTTTGCATCTCAATGACAATAAAGCCTATATTCAAAATAGATCTTTCAATTTTTAGATTGTAGACAGGGATGTAATTTTCTCAAGTTCATTATGAGATTCTTTGGGAACAGTTCATTATGCTTGTGACAACCCTCTTTGAATTGTCTTGTTATTTGCATACTTCCATCT